CAAGTATAGTAGGGGAACCTAATGGTTAAGGCGATAGATACCTCATTGTGGCTTTGGTTTTTTTCTCTGATTAGCAACTTTCCATGTGCACATTGGTCATTTGTATATCATCTTTTATGAAATGTATACAAATCCTCCGCCTATTTTAATTTAATTTTTTATAGTGGTGTTCATTGAACTCTGGGTCTTATGGCATATACCCTGTCACTTGAGCCATGCCCCTAGTTCTCTTTGCCTATATTAAAAAAAAATCAAGTTACTTGATTTTTTTAGTTGTTGATTTACATGAGTGTTTTAATTTTTTTAATATATTCCAGATATTAACTCCTATCAAATTTAGTGTTTACAAATATTTTCACCTGTTTCTCAGGTTATTTTTGCATTCTGTTGATTGGTCCTTGGATGAACATAAGTTTTAAAATTTGCTGTAGTCTCATTTGTTCATTTTTGCTTTTGTTACATGTACTTTTGGTGTCACATCCAAAAAATTTTTTTCAAATGCAACATCAAGATGATTTTTCTAGAATTTATTCAGAGTTTGAGAGGTTAGGGTCTTACATGTAGGTTTTTTTTAACTGACTTTGAGTCAATTTTATATGTGATTTAAGTAAAGTTCTATCTTCATTCTTTTCTATGTGGATATCTACTCTTCTCAACACTATTGTTGTTGCTGCTTTTAATACGTTGTCCTTTCTCTATTTTTTTGTCGGTCATGGGGCCTGAACTCTGGGCCTGAGTACTGTCCCTCAGCTTTTCTGCCCAAGGCTAGCACCCTACCACTTGAGCCAAAGCGCCACTTCCAGCTTTTTCTGCTTATGTGGTTCTGAGGAATTGAACCAGGGCCTCATGCATGCAAGGCAAGCACTCTACCACTGAGCCACCTTCCCAGCCCCAGGTTGTCTTTTCTCTAATGGCCTTTTTATTCTTGTTGAAGATTATTTGATCACATACATGAGGCTTTATTTCTGTGTTCTCTATTCTATTGCCCTGTGCCTGTCTTCATGATAGTTGCACGCTGTTCTGATTACTATGGCTTCTAGTATAATTTGAAATCAGGAAGACTGAGTCCTCTAACTTTGTTCATCTTCAAGATTGTTTTGGCAAATTTCAAAATGATTCTTTTTTGTAGAAACAAAATTTGCCATTGGAATTTTGATGGAGATTATGTGAGATTGGAGAATTGACATCTCAATAATATTAAACCTTCTCGTACATGAACATTAAATGTCTCTGTTTACTTGTGTCTTTAATTTCTTTTGACAGTGTCTTATAGTTTTTGATGAACAAGTCTTAAACCTCCTTGGTTCATTTTATTTCTGGGTATTTTATTTCTTTGGTGCGACCATAAATGAAATTTTCTTAATTTTCTTTTCTTGTTGTTCTTTGTTAATGTGTAGAATATGTTTGATTTTATATACTGATTTCAGTCGTCTATAATTTGTTGAATTTGGATGAAATCTTTAGGATTTTCAACATTTAAGATCATTCACCTATGAGCATAAATTCATTTGTTATTTAGAAATTGGATTCCTTTTAGATTATTTTTTTTTGTGTTTTTTTTTTGTTTTTTGTTTTTTTTGCGTCCGGTTGTGGGGCCTGAACTCTGGGCCTGGGCGCTGTCCCTCAGCTCTTCAGCTCAAGGCTAGCGCTCTACCACTTGAGCCACAACGCCACTTCCGGCTTTTTTCTTTTTGCTTATGTGGAATCGAACCCAGGGCCTCATGTATGCAAGGCAAGCGCTCTACCACTGAGCCACCTTCCCAGCCCTCCTTTTAGATTATTTTTAATGGCATGAACAATGAGTACAAACTGTTGTTGAATGAAAATAGTCTGTGAAACTGTGGCATACAAGTCCAGTTTGTATATATGATATGAGGAATCTAATTTATATACTCACATGATTCACGAACATTTTTATTTTTATTCAGCTTGTCTGCATATGCTAATTGGAGAGTTAATATTATCTACCATTAGGATTATTATTGAAAGATAAACCCTTCATTGTAGAGATGTGGTCATTTACTGCAACTGTATTGTTTGATTCTTTGCTAGTTTTTTTTTTATTCTTCTAATGAAATTTATTTTTCCCTGATTATTTTTTTTCTCTTTTGGTGGATAGTAATTTTGAATGGTTTCTGAAGTGCTGATTTTATGGTTATGAATTGCTTTAACTTTTGCTTATCATAGGAGATCTTTATTTCTCCTTTGATATTTAAAGTATAGCTTTACTATATTATGGTAATCTTAGTTGGTAGATGATTTTGTTTTGTTTTGTTTTTGTTGGTCATGGGGCTTGAACTCTGGGCTTGAGCCCTGTCCCTGCGCTCTTAAGCTCAAGGCGAGTGCTCTACCATTTGAGCCATCTGGTCATTATTGGAGATAAGAGTCACAGACTTTACTGCCCAGTCTGCCTTTGAACTGCGACCCTCAGAACTCAGCTTCCTGAGTAGCTAGGATTGCAGGCATGAGCCACTGGCGCCTGCAGCAGATAGTTGTTGTTTTTTTTCTGTTTGTTTTTTGCCCCCCTCCCCCCCTCCCCCCCTTTAGGATTACTGCTGCTGCTCTGCTGTTACTCTGATAGGTAACTTGCCATTTTTCTCTTGTCTTTTAGTATGCTTTCTTTGTTCTGTTCTCTTGGTATTTATAATTTGATATTAGAACTTCTTTTCTGTTCATGAATATTTGGGGTTCTAAATGCCTCCTGTACTTGGACGTCCATTTCTTTTTTTCAATTTGGAAAATTTTCTGCTATAACTGTACTGAATAGTTTTTTGTAGAGTTGTCTCTCAGTTGTATCCCAGAGTTCAATCTCTTCAGTGAAATTTTCCTCCCAGTTTGCTGAAATTTTTTCTGTCTTCAGTTAATTCCTTTACTTAAATTATCTGTTTATTTGAATCTTGAAATCACTGGTCATTTTAAAAATTAGACTTTTTGAATCTGTTGAGGTGGACATCTGGTTTTATGTAGAGGTCTTAGTGAGTAGCCTTGTCTTGAGGATTCACTTCCCAATGCCTCTTATAGAGGAGAAAACAACACTGCCATAATAGCAGGTACAGAAATAAAAGTACAGACAACTATTGCACCACCAGTAACAGTACAAAAAGAAATGGTAAAAGGACTATAGAATAAACCATTTTATATTAACTATGGTAAAAGTAATTACAATAATGAATAAAATAAAAAGGGAGCAGGGAAAGGGAGAAACAAAAAAGAAACAAAGTTAAAAAATAGCTTGAATATAGCAGCCCATCTGTAATCCTAATACTTAAGAGGCTGAATTGAGAGGATAACTGTTCTAAACTAGCCCAAGTATACACCAGAGTTGGAGTATTTCCTGCCTCTATTTTCTGTGAACTGTTTTTTCCCTTCTTTCTTGATTCTTAATGTTCTTCTTTTCTATCCTCAAAATATTGTTTCTCTTTTGTTATTTGCAAAAACTTTTGAATCTACCATTCTGCCCTGGATACATTTCTGAGCACCACTCATTTTAAATCTTGAGGTGCTTCCCAAAGACTACTATTGGAAACTTTATATATAAGTTATCTATCTATACATAGATAGATAACTTATAATGTTATAAGTACTTATAATGATGTCCTAGTAAAGAAAACCTATTGGTCTCTTAACATATGGTAATGTTGCTATTGTATTTATTCTATCAAATGTTCTAAATGTACTATGGTAATAACCTCTTTCTGCAAACAATCCTAACTGAAAGAATTCACTAGTCAAAAAAAAAATGGGAGTATAAAAATCTGCCACAAAAATAGCCATTAACTTGATATTACTGAAATATAGGAAATATTTAGAAACAGCAGATAACAAATGAAAGACTTGAATGAATCCAGATACTTAACAGATTAAACTAGGTCACAAGAGTTCAACTGCTGAAATTCCTGTGCATTTCTGCAGCAGGACTCGAATCCATGTTTGTCTAATCAGTGTATTAATATTACTTCTTTTTTCTGAAATAAACACTACTTTGATGTAAAACAGTTGGTGGTAACAGTATCAAAAAACTCACATAAAAATGTTGTTTTTATAAAACTTTGTTCTACTTAACTCATATTAGTGAAAGACAAATTGAAAGTACAGATTGAAAAAATAATGCAACCATGTGCCAGTGGCTCACAGTTATAATCATAGCTTTTCAAGTGGCTGAGATCTGAGGATCATAGCTTGAAACTTAGCCTGGGCAAGAAAGCCCATGAGACTCTTATCTTCAATTAACTCTTCCCCTCTCCACACCCGCCCCCACCCCTGTCACAAAGACAGAAGCAGAGCTGTGGCACTACTAGTCTTGGGCAACAAAAAGTTCAGGGACAGCACCTAGGCATTACTATTTTTTTAAAGGTACCCAGTTTAGCTCAGGGCCTTGTTCTTGTTAGGCAAGAGCTTCCTAATTTTAGCATTAGATATTTTTCAAATAGTATGATGTTTTTTGTCCAGGCTGGCTTTGGACTTCAGTCATCTTCGTACCTATGCCTCCCCTGTGGATGGAATAGGCACTACCATATCTAACTTGTTCTTTGAAATACAATCTCTGACTTTTTGCCTAGCTAACCTTGTACCACAGTCCTCTGACCTCTGCCTCCCAAGTAGATGGATTATCACACCCAGCTGCATGTCTTTTGAAATACTCTTTCTATGTACATATGTACTCAAATGATTATATAAAAATCATTTTTCTTAATATACTGTGAACATATTTTCATATCAAAACACATAGCATAAATTATTTATTCTTTCATAAACCATACTGTAGTAAACATCTTATCTCTGTGCATATCTCCTTAAGAAAAAGAAACTTGGAAGCAATTGAGATTCAGAGATTTGTACATTTTTAAGATTTTAGGTTTTATTGAAAGAATATATCACTTAACAGTCTCATCTAAGTATTGAGAATGACTAACTTCTCATCTCTAGCTAATCGTTTTCCTTTCTTCTGGTATATCTTGAGTAACATGATAACCAACTTATTTTTTGTTTTTGTTTTTCAGGTGATGATTTTTCTTTGATTCAGCAAGAAATATTTATGGTTAAAGAATGTAAGCATTGCAACATTGTTGCCTACTTTGGGAGCTATCTCAGGTAATAAAGAAGAAGCCCCATATGCCCTCTATATTTTATAATTTCTTTGCTATTATTCTCCTCTTTATATAAGTATACTTTATATTTTGACATAAAGCTTATCCAAAGCTGAAGAATATCTGAAGGTTTCTGACAACTGTACATATGTGGTCATACTTTAAATGGCAGCCTTAATGAAGCATTATGGATGATTCTTAGGAAGTGTTTAATTTAGACACTGATCTCGTTCTACTCCATTTACAGAGGGGCATGCCAGCTGCTGTGCTTGCATTACTGTGCTTGAATGTGTATTGGAGAGGGCTACTAGATGCTTCCCTTCCACTTTGTAGTGCCAAGATGAAGCAACAGAATCCCTTCAGCAGTTGAGAACTACCACCTAACATATTTCCTTTCTCTTTCATGTTAGTCGGGAAAAGCTGTGGATTTGTATGGAATACTGTGGTGGTGGATCACTTCAAGATATTTACCATGGTACTGTGAATTTGGTTTTATAATTTAAAACTTACTTTGATTTTAATGATTGATGTTTAACATCTTCCAATTAATAGGTAAATTAACAGTTCTGTTGCCAGAGTACTGCATAATAGAAATATAAGGGGATGTGGCAAGTGGTGGTGGTGATTATTCAATTGTGTTTGTCTTAGCCTAAACTAGGAAACCTCTAAGTATGTCTGAGTCTAAATTATACTTTTTAGATATAGTCTAAGAGTGCTTATCTACAAAGGAAACTGCTTAAACTTTCTTGTAAATAAGAATTGAAATGCAAAGGATTAGCTCACATAAAGGAAATTGTGCAGCTATCTTATCTTAATAATTTAAACAGTAAGCAGAAAGCAGTTTAATTGTTGATTTAATAATTTCTTGTAGGATGATATATAGATTTTTAAAAAGAAATTAGAGTATTTTACTTAGCAGTCTATTAATTTAGTCTTTTTTATTGTTGTTGAGTTTGCCTTTTTTTTTTTTTTTGGTGCCAGTAGTGGGGTATGAACTCAGGGCCTGGGATGTCCCTTAATTGTTTTCTGCTGAAGGCTGCTGCTCACTTCTAGCTTTTTACATTGATTAATTGGATAGGGTGTCTCACGGACTTTCCTGACTGGGCAGGCTTTGAACTATGACTCTTAGCTCTCAGCCTCCTATTTAGCTAGGACAGCAGGCATGAACCACCAGTGCCCTGCTTCCATTTAACTTTTTATAATATTTAGAAATAGTCTTAGTTTAGACTACCCAGTTTCGCTTCTAATTTGTTGTGTTGTTGGCAATTTCTAGAATTTGTGAGAGTTGAATATAGATTCCTATCATTTTTTCCTTATTCAATATAGATATAGGATAGTAAAATATCCAGTGTAACTGTGTTATATGGTTTATTAAGAATTATGTAAGTGTTTTAAAAATATTTCTGTGCTGAAATCTTTGTTTTGGAAGTAATATCAAATTTTAGTTATATCACAATAAATGTAAAAACAACTGCTGTTCCAGTTGAAGTATCTTGTATCTTGTAATAATCAGTTTCATACAATTATAGTTAAAACAGCACACTTTACCTAGAATTCAGAATCCAGTGCTGCACTTACATAGATGAAGTAGCTTCACATTTACTTAATTGGATATATCTCCTCAAAAATATGTATAACAAAGCCGGGCGCCGTTATATATATCCTAGCTACTCAGGAGGCTGAGATCTGAGGATTACAGTGTAAAGCCAGCCCAGGCAGGAATCTCTGTGAGACTCTTATCTCCAGTTAACAACCAGAAAACCTGAAGTGGCACTGTGGCTCAAGTAGTAGAGTGCTCACCTTGAGCTGAAGAGCTGAGGGACAGCACCCAGGTCCAGAGTTCAAGTCCCATGACTGACTCTCCCCCTACCCCCCAAAAAAATGTATAACATAGTTGGTTATACTTAGGATTTTAAAATAATATTTATAAATTTTATTAAATAATATTTTATAAGTATATATAAATGCATATCAATATAAAAGATATATGACAAATTGATATGTCATTTCTTGGGGAAGAAAAGTTGGGCTCAGATGTAAAATTCTGTTATAAAAATGTATTGAGCTGGGTGCCGGTGGCTCACGCCTTTAATCCTAGCTACTCAGAAGGCTGAGATCTGAAGATTGCGGTTCAAAGCCAGCCCAGGCAGGAAAGACCGTGAGACTCCTATCTCCAATAAGCCACCAGAAAACCGGAAGTGGTACTGTAGTTCAAGTAGTGGAGCGCTCACCTTGAGCTGAAGATCTGAGGGACAGTGTCCAGGCCCAGAGTTCAAGCCCCACAACCGACCAAAAAAAAGAAAAAAATGTTTTGATAGCTGGACGCCGGCGGCTCACGCCTGTAATCCTAGCTACTTAGGAGCTTGAGATCTGAGGATCACAGTTTAAAGCCAGCCCAGGCAAGACAGTCCATGGGACTCTTATCTCCAATGAACAACTAGAAAACCAGAAGTGGCACTTTGGCTCAAACTGTAGATTGTTCTCCTTGAGCTGAAGAGTGCAGGGACAGTGCCCAAGCCAAGTCCAAGCCCCAGGACCGACAAAAAAAAAGTATTGATATATCATTCAGTAATATATTTAAAATATTGCAATTATCTAATTTAGTTAGGACAAATAACCCATAACAGAAAAAGGCCTTATTAATCACTATCTCTTTATTTAAAAGCAATTTTTTTTAGCATATAGATATAACTACTGAGGCTAAGCATGTTAGCATATGCTTGTAATCCTAGCTACTCAGGTTCAAGGCCTGCCCAATCAAAAAGTTAGTGAGACCCTATCTCAACAAATAAGCTGAGAACAATGGTTTATGTCTATAATTCCAGCTCCATTGAGGTATACTTAGCAGGAGTAAAGTCCAAGGCTGGCCCAGGCAAAAATATAAGATCCAATCTGAAATTCAAAGAATTGGAGTTTTTATTCAATAGGAGTTTTTTGTTTGTTTTTGTTATTGGTTTAGTAGTACTGGAGAGAGCCTCATGATGCTTGCTAGTCGGATTTTCTGCCCCTTGACCATGCCCTCAGCCTTCAGTTTTATTGGTCATTTTCAGATAGAGTCTTGATTTGTGCCCAGGCTGGCGTGGGCTGTGATCTTCCTACTTGTGCCTCCTATCTCTGGAGATAGCAGTCACAGTCTCTGCACTAGGATAATGGACATACAACATTATGCCCAGTCATTGTTTTAAGTGTTGTCTTGTAAACTTATATGCCCAGGCTGGCCTCAAACCACGGTCTTTGAATATCTGCCTCCCAAGTAGCCAGGATTATTAGCTTCAACTACTGTGCCCAGCGTCAATTATAACTTTTATCCACTTAACATTTTTACAAAATGAGGACTCTTAAAATATAGATAAAATTAAGGCTTGTACACTACTAGTTAAACCACAGCTTCATTTCAAGCTTTTCTGGTGTTTAATTGGAGATAAGAGTCTCACAGACTTTCCTGCCTGGGCTGGCTTTTAACCGTGATCTTCAGGTCTCAGCCTACTGAGTAGTTAGGATTACAGGCATAAGCCATTGGCACCTGCCTAAAACCTGATTTTTTTTTTAGGTAAATTAAATCTAAGAAATGTCTATGCCTTTAGTGCATTCAAAAACATAGTAATCATGTAAATTGGATGCTGTTAATAAAGTAACTTCTTTTACTGCTATTCTTATTTCCTAAATCAAAATTTTGTGAGCTGGGATGTAGCATAGTGGCAGTGAGCCTGCCTAACAAGTGTAATATCCTAGGTTTTATCTCCAGTATCAAAAAAGAAAAGACAAAAAAATTGTGTTGATGAGTAGGGTGTAGACAGCCAGTGATTAAAACATGCATGAAATTTTTTTGTGCATAGGTTACATATTGAGTTTCACTGTCTGCAAACACCACCTAGATTTTCTCTTCAGTCACTAAAGGAATAATTCCAGAGCTTCTTGTTTGGGTACTTGAATATACAGGATTTATAATCAAATTAAGAGATAAATCTGTTTTCCAGAAATAGAGTGAAAGATTTCATAAGATGATGCTTTCAGAAGAAAGCATAATACTGAAAAGAGACTATCTTGACACTTAAAAAAATGTATAATATTTTTCACTATGTTTCAACAGCCAGTCTTTTTATGGTTCCCTGTAAATATATGTTAATTAGTTGCATATTAGCTTTATAGTTCTTGGTTTTCTTTCTGAAAATTATTCAGGATTGAGTTCATGCTTCTTGGTTTCTATAGAATTTCCTGTGGTACTTAGTACTGAGCTTTACACAGAATAGGTTCTTTGTTTTACTTTTTTTTTAAATAATTTTTTATTGAGATTAAGTGATTACATAAATTTCGCAAATTTCATAGCATTGTGGAATAGTGATACTTAAAGTCACAAACACATTTTACACTTCACAAGGCAAATTGTCATTATCATGGTCTATAATGTTTGTGAATTCTTTGAGCTTTGACAGTACAACTATTTCTTCCACATCAGGTGATATGTACATTTCTTTCCTTTTGCTTAGTGTAAGCTGTTCCCTCTTTCCCTCTCATTCCCTCCCTCAGGAGCTTTGTTTTTCAATACTTAAGGTTGCTATGGAATAAATCTCTTTAAATTTTTTTTTTTTTTTTTTTGGGGGGGGGGTCTGGTCGTAGGGCCTGAACTCTGGGCCTGGGCGCTGTCCCTCAGCTCTTCAGCTCAAGGCTAGCACTCTACCACTTGAGCCACAGCGCCACTTCTGGCTTTTTTTTGTTTTTGCTTATGTGGTGCTAAGGAATCGAACCCAGGGCCTCAGGCATGCGAGGCAAGCGCTCTACCACTGAGACACCTTCCCAGCCCCCTCTTTAAAGTTTTTAAAGTACACTTTGAAATTCTCAGTATATTCTGTTTCTGTTTACTAATATTTGGTTTTTCTTATTGTGGTTGTAGGAATTGAACCCAGTGCCTCATGCAAGCTAGCCAAGTGCTTTACCACTTGAGCTATACCTTTAGCTCTTTTATTTTACAAAAATAACATATACTCCTGATCAGAAGGGAAGTTGTCTAATGACACATATAAAGTTGCATATAGTTTGTCATTTAAAAAGTAGATTGTATGCTGGGAGCCGGAGGCTCACACCTGTAATCCTAGCTACTCAGGAGACTGAGATCTGAGGAACGTGGTTCAAAGCCAGCCGGGGCAGGAAAGTCCGTGAGACTCTTATCTCCAATAAACCACTAGAAAACCGGAAGTGGTGCTGTGGCTCAAGCAGTAGAACGCTCGCCTTTAGCTGAAGAGCGCAGGGACAGCACCTAAGCCCAGAGTTCAAGCCCCACGACTGACCAAAAAAACATTTTTTTTTAAAGTAGATTGTATTTTAATTTGTTAGATTCAAACTTATATCAGTATGGTCTTTTTCTTTCTCTCTAGTTACTGGACCCTTATCAGAATTGCAAATAGCCTATGTGTGCAGAGAAACCTTACAGGTACTACAATTGTTTATGTACATAGTCAACCCCATTAGAAAGGCAGTTTCACACTTGATAACTGTAAAATGATTACTTGCCCAAAAGAGAATAATAAATTCATAACCTTTTTCCTAAGGTCTAGTATTTTAACTCTGTAAAGCTAGTTATTTTTTCATGAATAAGTTATAAGAATCCTTGTTAAGCAGATGGTTACACCATGGTATAAGGTGGTCATAAGTGATAGTGTTGATTGCTGATAGACACAGTGATCAAGTGTAATAGTCTATGTCATCTAGTTCTCACTTGCTACAAATGAAGAGAAGGTATGACTATACACTGACGAATAAATACAGTGGAAGGGATATAAACACCTACATACTGCTAGAGAAATTAAAGACCTAAATACTATACTGTATTCATAATTAGAAGATTTCATACTATTAAAGTATTAGTTCTTCCCACATTACAGATTGACTGAAATCCCAATCAGAATCTAAGCAGGCTTTCTTTTTGGTTTGTTTTTTTTTAAAGAAATAGACAAGTTGATTATAACTTCCTGTGCAAATGCAAAGCACCTAGAACAGCCAAACAAATTTGAAACCTGATGTTTAAGAGAGAAAGCCAATCAGGGCTTCCTGGAAAGAAGAAAAGAATTATAAATGGGCACAAGAGAAGAAAACTTTTGAGGGTGATGAGTTTGTTCATTATCTTAACTATGGGATTAGTCTTCTAATAAGTGTTTACCAGAAAGTGAATTTAAAAGCTTTGTGATAGAATTAGCATTAATAAAAAGAGACTCATCTTGTTTTACCTAAAAAACACTGTCTAGTTTTTTTTCTTAATCAATTAGAACTTATATAGAAATTTTTAAAATTTACAGTTTTTCTAATATATACTATTTTTTTAATTTCAGGGTCTTGCCTATTTGCATACTAAGGGTAAAATGCATAGAGATATCAAAGTAAGTTCATTTTATATTCTTATATTGCTAATTCTTTTGCAAGAAATGTTATGATGCTAGTTTAATAGCATTTGTAATTTTGTTTCAGGGTGCAAATATTTTATTGACAGACCATGGTGATGTAAAATTAGGTATGTTATTTCAAGCTCCTGAAACTTTTTCCAAAAATACTTTATTAAACTGTTAAATGAAAATTAACCTTATATAGGTTTCATATTTATATTGAATCATGATAATTCTGATCATTGACAGAGTTAATTTTACTACAGTGATTCAACTTAAGGAAATTATTTTAGTTTTATTCATAGAAATATTAACCATATTATAGTACAAAAATACAAACATAAATCTCAATCAACAGCTAAATTCAATAAAAATATCTAGAATATATGCAAATAAAATATTTTAGTGTGTCATGGGCAAAAATGAACTACACGCATTTTAAATTTGTTTATAACTGTGCTTAATAAAAAGCAATGTAAAAGTTTATGCATAATTTTTTAAACTTTGTTTAAAAAAGCACCAAAATATCTAATAATATTTTGTCAGGATTAAAGGAATTTGGGTATTTTCCTCATGTGTTTTTTCCCCCCATACTAACTTCAGTGTGCATATAATTAAAATATTTTATTACCTTGTTCCTAATAAAGTACATTTTGATTCTAGTAAAATTTCATGAAGTTCTTTCATTTTAATGAGTATGTTATGAACTAAGCAAGAAGAGATTTGGGTATTTATTCACATTTCTCTGACATTGATATCCAAATTATTAACAATGTTATGCCTAAGTGTGAATCTTAGACATGCTAGTTGTGCTGAAAAATAAATATTTTCTGTTCTATTTTTTTCCTCACCAGCGGATTTTGGTGTGGCTGCAAAAATAACAGCTACCATTGCAAAGAGAAAATCTTTCATTGGCACTCCTTATTGGTAAGATATTATCATGATTGACTGGTTCATTTTCATTTCTTCATGCTTAGTGATCAGTCTTGGTATTTGGTAATACAAATGAGCCTTGAAAGCCAAGAGATTTTTGCATTCTCCTTGATAGTATTCTTGTTTTACTTAGATTAAGAAACTGGAGGGGCTGGGAAGGTGGCCTTGCATGCCTGAGGCCCTGGGTTCGATTCCTCAGCACCACATAAGCAAAAAGAAAAAAGCCATAAGTGGTGCTGTGGCTCAAGTGGTAGAGCGCTAGCCTTGAGCTGAAGAGCTGAGGGACAGTTCCCAGGCCCAGAGTTCAGGCCCCACGACTGGACAATTAAAAAAAGAAAGAAACTGGAGATTGTAGTTTCATTATTCAGTTTCCCATATTAAATTACTAATAAATTCTATTGTCCTAGGGCTTGCTTAGATTGAGAGGACTCACAGGTATGAAATTTTCAATGGAAAGACTTCTTGACAGATAGAGTTGTGCACCTATCATCCAGCCCTTGGTCTGGGACAGGAGGACCACAAGTTGAAGCCAGTTGAGCTACATACTGAAACTTTATCTGAAAGATTAAAAAAAAAAAAAAGCCAGGTACTGGTAGCTCACATCTACAATCCTAGCCACTCAAGAGGCTGAGATCTGAGGATTATGGTTCAAAGCCAGCCTGACAGGAAAGTCCATGAGATTCTTATCTCCAATTAAACACCAGAAAAGCTTGAAATGAAGCTGTGGCTTAACTAGTAGAGTTAACTAGTAGAGCAAAATAGCTCAAAAGACAGCACCTAGGCCCTAGGTTCAAGCCTCAAGACGGGTCGTCCCCAAAAGATGAAAAGTTGACTTGTAATGCATCCGACCCAGTCATTGACAACACATTCCTTTTAAGATACTGACTTCATTATTGATAGATGGCTGCAATATGATAAAAAGCTTCTTATTAAACTATGTAAAATAACAGTGAAAAAAAAGGTGGAATCTAATTTGGGGTGAAGGTTCTTTAATATGGAGTGTTTGAATAATTTATTATTTGGAAAGTATTTTGAAAATAGTAGCCTTATTTCTCATAACTAATGTCAAGATACATTCTGTATGGACATAGTTAAATAGAAAAGCAAAAAAAAATTGATTTCTTAATCACATACTCTGGCTTCATCTATGACAGCCTGACTGACTGAAGCTCAGGTTCCCACTAAGCTAGAAAACACAGAATAGTTTTAGTCAAGTTCAAGTTCCAATTATTCACCATCTCATTGGAATGGGCAGAAGAAATGAGGTTAATTTGCATTTTCAGTCATCTGACTAACTGGTAATTATTTTCTTCTCTTTATTCTTATACCCACTATTGTATATATAGCACTTGAATAGTGTCTGTATATTTACATATTAGCATTTGTAGTAAATGTATTTTATATCTTCAACTTATACTTAAGTTGAGATGATAGAGACTAAGTGCATATAAAAGCAACTTATGCTATGTGTGTTTTAATAGAAATGTAAACTAATTAATTTTAGAATAATAAATGTTAAAACAAATTTCCCAAGTGGTATCCTTTGCACCTTATAACTTCAGATGCTATAATTGACTCCCAAATAGATAACACCAACCCTGCTGCTAAGTTCACCTCCTTCTTTGGTGTATTCAACAATTGACAGCAGATCCCTCTCAGGATTCATATGCATCTCATCTATAGATCAGTATCTTAAATCAGCCCCTTTCTTTCTGTTTACTCTGCCCACAGCCTTTGAAAAGCCTTTATTTTTTTTCCTTTAGTTTTTTGTTCATTTGTTTCTGCTTTGTTTGGGTTTAGGAATTTCTTTGAGAAAGACTGTCTGTGTAGCTTCAAACTCAGGGTACTTTATCCTCAACTCTTTGAGTGTAAGGACAACAGACATGTACTATTATACTTTGTATTTTTTAAATAGTCTTCTAATTCTTCTGGCTGCCTAGTTTTACCTCCCCTACATAATAATTCAGATAATTGTTTGCTACCACATTTAAATCTTCTGTTGGTCTACATCATTTTACAAGGAAGAATAGACTTGTTTAATTCAATAAATCAATGATAATCTAGTCTCTCTGTTTAGGTCATTTACCGAATACATTCTCTAGACCTCTAAACCATCTATTGTGAAGGATAATTTTACTTTCATTTCCTATTTACAACACACACATTTTAAAATTTTTATTTTATTATAAAGGTGATGTACAGAGAGGTTACAGTTACATAAGTAACATAATGAGTACATTTCTTGTCGAACATTGTTACGCCCTCCCTCTTTTCTTCCCACTTTACCCCTCTCATCTATCTTCCCCTCCCAAAGCTGTAAAGTTCACGCATACACTTTTATAAAACAAAATAAAGTTACTAAAAATTGATCATGCATTTGGACAAAGTGAGCACTTAATCTTTTTGTCACCGCTGGTAGCCCACAGTGTATGACCAGATCTTAGTTTGTGGATCCCACATGAGTAGCATGTTCTCAGTTCCCCACTTGTTCCCCATGTGTTCCTTCTTTCTTCTTTCTTTTCTTCATGTGTACTGATGTCCTCTGAGGCATTCATATTCTTTAATCCCCTCAGCTTCCTGCTGATCTTTCATTATGTGTTATCTCCTTGGGACCTTTTCTTTGAACTTCACAGGGGTTTAGGTGTTCTTGTTCATTCCTATATTGCATTAAGACTCACCTAATACAACTAAAGTAAGATAAGATTTTTCTCCAAGTCCCAGTATTCAGAAGAGGAAATTCGAAAAGTTTAATGAGTTTTAAAAGAATGACATGTAACTGGGTACCGGTTGCTCATACCTGTAATCCTAGCTACTCAGAAAGCTGAGATCTGAGGATCATAGTTGGAAGCCAGCCTGAGCAGAAAAGTCCCAGTAAGACTCTTTATCTCCAGTTAACAGCTCAAAAACTGAAAGTGGCACCGTGGCTCAAATGGAAAGAACACTAGCCTTGAGCACAAAGAGGCTCAGGGACAGGGCCAAGGCCCTGAGTTTAAGCCCCACAATTGACAAAAAAAGAAAAAGAGTGGTATGTGATGTTTGTTTTAAGTCTTTCCTAGTGTTCTTTCCTAGTGAACACTCTCTTGCCTCCTTCCCTCCAAGTCTAATAATTGGGAGAATTTTTTAATGGATTATGTATAATTTTCATTTGTTCCTTTTAGGATGGCCCCAGAAGTTGCAGCAGTGGAGAAGAATGGTGGCTACAACCAACTCTGTGATATCTGGGCAGTAGGAATAACAGCAATTGAACTTGGGGAGCTTCAACCACCAATGTTTGATCTTCATCCAATGAGGTGTTCTCATTATTCATGCTTTTGCATTTAAGAATAAACTGGGGGAAAGTGAAATACTGGTAACTCTGGGGTGGCACGTTTTTGAAAAGTATATCAAAATAGTAAACGTGTTAAAATGGATTAATCTAACCTAAAACCTGCTTAGTTCATATTGGTGCTACTATAAAACATGGAGTGAGTTGTCTATAGTGTTTGCAACTTTCCCTTGAAACAAATATCCCTTAATAATCATTATTATGCCATTATTATTAAACAAGTCTTTTGAAGTCTTTATATTTATTTTTCCACCAATTGATCTTCTTTATATGAAATTATAAGTGGTAGAACACACTTGCTTTTTAAAAATATTCTTTTTCTTTCTTTTACTTTATCTACAGTTACCTGTGCTTACTATAATGGTCATTTATGATTTAAAATATGGCTTCCAGAAAAAAAATACATTTGAGGGCTTTAGAAAAGATTTCTGATAATTTGAAGGAAAACAAATTGAGTTAAAATTTAAGCTTTAAATGGTATTTTTAAAAAAATGAAAACCAACAGAATAAAAACAAGGAAACATGCTTTTCTAATGTAAGATTGACCACAAAGAATGTGTACTAAATAGGCAGAAAAGAGATTATAAAGAAACATACAGAAAAGTGGAAGTTGAATCATATCAACTATTATCTGGGATGCTAACAGGTAGACCTTTAGGAAAATAATATAATGTTACTAGTCAGAGGCTGTACAAATGTTTCAGTGATACCAATATTTATGTATGTATCCTAAGGATTATCCATTTGAGACTCTGGGGGAATTATGTATCTACTAGTGAGGTGTTAAATTATTTAGCAGTTGGGGCAGCAGTTATATCTGTGTAAGCCAAAGGAACATGGAAAAAACAATTGGTAATAAAAAACAATGCAACATTGCCAAATATAATAATATAATAGTTAAGAAGTTAATAAGCATTTGGATAAGGCTAAAAAAAGTTTTTAAACAGTATCTTAAAATGGTAAGAATGGATATTTTTCTCTCAATTCATTTTCCTGTGAATTATTTTCTTTTTTAGAAAAAGAAGATGTGTTTGGTATTAAGTATGATGAGAAGGGATTTTGTAACAAATACTGAAATAGAGCATTTTAGAAATTCCTTAATTCCTCCATTTTTCTATCCTGTAGTCCATAGAAAAGTAGGACAAAATTCATAGACAAAGTTACCTCTTCTTGTGGATTGACTTATTTATAGTGAGAGACTATGGAACATTTTTGTCCAAACAAAACAGATGAAGAAATTAATATTATTTGCCTATATACTCAAAATAATGTTAGAGGCAAGTCTTTAATTAAACATATAACCTAACCTATGTTAGTGTGATGTATCATTTCTGTTATAAAATAGTACACAATTTTTTAATGTGTTTAAGATATCATACTACTTACATAGATTATTTATGGTAATAAAACTTTAACATTTGGTAGTTTTATTTTGTGAATACAAACTTGTTTGAAGTTTAAAAATCTGTGTTGCTAGGAAAATTTCCATAGGCCATCAAAAGTATAAAAAATGTAGTTTCTATATCAATTTTTTCCAGACCTACATTTGAAAAAGTCTTATGAATTTATTGCAGAATATTTATTCTGATTGTAAGGTATAGTAAAATGGTATTTCAGTATTGTTCTTTAACTGAAATTTTTATTTTAGGGCTCTCTTCTTAATGTCAAAAAGTAATTTTCAGCCTCCAAAACTAAAGGACAAAACAAAATGGTGAGTTATAGAATACATGATTTTACCTGGTTTTACAGAATTTTCTGTTAAAAGGTTCAGTTCCCTTATTTTATAGATAATAAAAATAAAGCACAGAAGCAGTTTGCCCAGTGTTGTTGCCCAGAGATATTGCAAGGATCTAGGTTTTTCTTTTCTTTTTTTTGGTGCCAAGGTTTGAACTCAGGGCCTTGCAATTGCTAGGCAGCTACTGTATCACATAAACCACTCTCCTCGCTCTTTAATTCCTATTGGTTATTTTTGAGATAGGGTCTCAGTTTATGCCCTGGCTGACTTTAGTCCTCCTATCTGTGCTTTTCTGCGTCACATCATAGTAACAGGTACATGTCACTATGCCCAACCATTGTGCTTTCCAAAGCTAGAAAATGGGTGTATGCCACTGCACCTATCCATTAATTGGGATGAATTCTCAAGAAATTTATTTGCCCAACTTGTCTTCACTGTAATTCCCTAATCTCCGTTTCCCAAATAGCTAGGACTGGGCCTTAACACCTGGAAAAATCTCAATCATTTCCTTAACTTGGCATTTTCACTGAAGAAATGTTATGAAGGTAGGCTTTGAAATAATACATGAAGATTTTAGAAATTCATCCTTTTTTTCTACATCCTTTTAATTACATAGTGACTTTAATGGGCACTGATATTTGAAAATATATTCCAGTTAATCTTTATTAGACTTGAGCCAGTAGCTCACACCTGGGGATAGAGATTGAGTGGATGGATCATGGTTTGAGGCCAGCCTGGGCAAAAAGTTCTTAAGTCCCCCTTCTTAACCAATAGCTAGGTGTTTCATATAGTGTTTCATGCCCTTCATCCCAGCTACATCAGAGGCTAACATCAAGAAGATCACAGATTTAGGCCAGCCTAGACAAACAGTTTGAGAGATCTTATGTCAATAGTAAAGTTTAGTTATGGTGAGTTTGTGCCTGTCATGCTGTTTATTCAGGAAACATAGATAGAAGTGTCTTCCAGGCTAGTCCAGGTGAAAAGAGCAACATTCTTTCTCAGAAATAACCAGATCAGAAAGCCCTGAGTTCAGTTGGTTTTTTTTTTAATCTCTATCTTCCTTTTATAGTAATCAAAAGGGTTATTATTTTCATTCTAATATCTTCTCTTCTTCGTCATTGTAGTACATAAGGATATCATCAATTGGATGGTAAAAATTGAAATTTATTTTTCTGCTAATACCTTCTCTGTACATTTTGCAAAATAAACCACACAAATAAAACATCCAAATTCCTAAATTCTCTTTAGGATATGCAACCCTCCAAACTCTGAATGTGTTACTTATTTTTTTTTTTATGGTGAGAAATCTAAGTGGCTCTTCCCCTAAATATACTCTGAACTGCTTTGAGTGTTGTATGTCTGGGGCTATGTTTTATTTGTAATCTAGGCCATGCTTTGGATGAGGGAGAGAAAAACTACACGAATTATACTCTGGAAACAAAGAAGTTTATATCCTACTGCTAAGTTAAATTATTTTGTGTTGGCACTAGTCTTTTTGTATTACTTATTGCTCTAAGTTCCTGGCCTTCTGAAACTGGAGGGCTTCATGGCATGAATGGTTGAATATTTATCCAGGAACATGTGACTATTATTCAGTCAGATTTCAGAGCACTCAGAGAGTTGTTGCCAGTCTCTGATTTTATCTAACTTTGTGTGATGTCTGTCACAGACCACCAGCTGCATACAACACAGTTGTTTTTTCTTTAAAATCTGCTATTTTGTCATGCTAATCTCTACGGTTACTTAGTTTATTTGGTTCTTGTCCAGTATCTCTTCCAATGGAATCTTGGTAATGGGAGAAATATCCCTCTTAATCAAAACATGATTCTTTTAATTTATATCTTTTTCCTTTTACATTTTAGTGCAGGTAGCAGGAAAGACTTTCCAACTGCTAAAAATCATTCCTCTTACTTGCCTTTTTTTACTAAGAAATCCAGTAGCTTTTTTAGGATTTAAGCTCTCTACATGAACTCTCTTATATTACCCTCCTTGCTATCTATGCCATCCAACTCTTTTCATATAGCAAAACACAAAAACGCTATATAAATTAGGCAATAAGGAAAGGATGAAAGTATGTTTGACCGGTGTGGTGGCTGATGCCTACAATCCCAGGTATAGGGGAGGCATTTAGGAGGTTCAGAGACTTAAGGCCAGCCCCAGGCATAGAAGTTTAAGACCTGAGCTGGGCTCTGGTGGCTCAGGCCTGTAATCCTAGCTACACTCAGGAGTCTGAAATCTGACCATCAAGGTTTGAAGCCAGCCCAGGTTGAAAAGTCCATGAGCCTGTCATCTCCATGAGCCTGTCATCTCCAGTAAACTACTTAGAAAAAGTTGAAAGTGGAGTGCTAGCCTTGAGAGGCTCACGACAGTGCCCAGGCCCTGAATTCAAGCCCTATGACCGGTTTAAAAAAAAAAAAAAAGGTTGAGAGGTGTGGCTTATAGCATAGAGCTCTCATGTCTGCCAAACCAAAGGCTCTTGAGTTCAAACCCTGGTACTACCAAAAAAGAAAAGAAAGACATTTTGACTCCTAGGTAGTAAGTAGAGAAGAAGATCATAAATTGTATAATTGACACTGAAAACCTGTTTCTAATTTTAGTGTAATTTTTAAGGTGTCATATTTCTGTTCTGTCATTAATTACATTTATCTTACAAAGCAATACTGACACAGATGTTTCTAAGGAATATACCATGCTTCAGGTTTCAGTTTTTTTGTTCGTATAAAACTAAGAGTGCTAAGAAAACATTTCAGTCTTTCTAACTGCTCCAAAGTTAATTTTATTTGGTAATACCAAAAAACTAATATTAATGAAATATTTTTGTACATCTCTTTTTGTTTGAAGGTCATCAACATTCCATAATTTTGTCAAAATAGCACTAACTAAAAACCCCAAAAAAAGACCAACTGCGGAAAGACTGCTGACTGTAAGTCATTGGAATTGTAAAGGGATTTCTTGTAGTCACATTGTACTTAGATATATCACTAGAGCGAAAATATTTAGTTGTTTTTTTTTACTATAAAAATCTTAGTAATCTCTTATGATAGCAAATTTTCTGTAAAGTCCACAGAATACTTTTTTTTGCTTTTAAAGACTATACCATCTGTGTGATGGCTACTCTGCCATTGTAGCCCCAACAGAGCCATTGATAATATGCATACTATACCTAGCTGTAATTTTAATACTCAGTAAAACGTACTCACAAAAAAAGAGTACAGATTTTACCAGTAGGCTATAGTTTGGACCTCTGGCATAGAAAAAACTTAAAAAATATTATCTAAAATTAATTGCTTTTCTTCATTTCTTATATAAATTTGCAATATGCACTGTATGTGTTATATATGTGAAAAAATACCTCTGTGAGAAAAACTTAATGATTACAACCTAAGAAAACTTTTCCATTTAACTGTAAATGTAAAATAATGTATACATGCCTTTTTTCTTTTCTTTTTTTCTTTTTGGTCTGGTTGTGGGGCCTGAACTCGGCCTGGGTGCTGTCCCTCAGCTCTTCAGCTCAAGGCTAGCGCTCTACCACTTGAGCCACAGTGCCTCTTCCGGCTTTTTTTTTCTGCTTATATGGTGCTGAGGAATCAAACCCAGGGCCTCATGCATGCAAGGCAAGTGTTCTACCACTGAGCCAACTTCCCAGCCCCTACATGCCTTTTTTCTTACTTGAATTATTGGCCAAACCACAGAATGCATTTGCATATCAGTAGAATGATATATGAGTAATAAACACAATTGGCATGGCTGAAGTTATTGTTTTAAAATCTAATATAGATCAGATAACTCACATAAAGAAATTATTTGTGGTCTAAGTACCAGAAATGTTTGTTTGTTTTTGGGTCCAGTTGTGGGGCCTGAACTCTGGGCCTGGGCACTGTCCCTCAGCTCTTCAGCTCAAGGCTAGTGTTCTACCACTGGAGCCATAGCACCACTTCCGGCTTTTTTCTTTTTGCTTATGTGGTGCTGAGGAATCGAACCCAGGGCCTCAGGCATGCAAGGCAAGCACTCTACCACTGAGCCACCTTCCCAGCCCCCCAGAAATGTTTTTAATAGCAGTAATAAATCTCAGTATACTTATATTAATAGACTCTCATGTTTGTCTCTGCTAGTTCCAGAAGAAAAAGAACCAATTATATTTTGTATAAACTAAGTATATTTCTGATTTTTCTGTGTCTCCTTTTCACTTAGCATACTTTTGTTGGGCAGCCAGGACTCTCAAGGGCCCTGGCTGTTGAACTGCTGGATAAAGTGAACAATCCAGACAACCATGCACATTACACTGAAGGAGATGATGATGACTTTGAGGTAATGAAGTGTTTACAACCTAATCTTTGAAAATAAATGTTTAATGTAGCTTCAGAGCTTACATTCTGATACACTCTTTCAACTTAGTTAAAATAGATTTACCTTCAAAGATCAGTGAGAACAATGAGAACTGCATGTATCTTACATATAATTATCAATTTATGTTTTATTATACTGGTATAATACTCATAACCTGTTGGTAGAATTAGGATTGATTCTTCTTAATGAGACCTCTGTTATTTTCCAAATTTGTTTGTGTAAAGTTGGGTGTTTTTTTTTTTGTCTTGTTTTCTTTGTTTTGTAATGCTGGGGTTTAAACTTAGAGCCTTGTGCTTGCTATGAAGGACCTCTACCACTTTTGAGCCATTTATCCACCACCACCCCTTTTTGCTTTAGTTATTTTTTAGGTGAGGTCTTGCATTTTTGCTGAGGACTGATTCCTACTTACAGCCCCCCAAAGTAGCTGAAATTATAGTTACTATTGCACTAGTTTATTAAAATGGGATCTCATTAACTTTTTTTGACTAGGCTAGCCTCAGAATCACAATCCTCTGAATCTCTACCTTCCAGTTACTACTCTTCCTGGCTGCCTGAAGTTTGAGAGTTAAAAGTTTTGGAGAGTTGTTTGTTTGGGGGTCTTTCTATGTCATTTTGGGGGCTTGAACTCAAAGCCTTGAGCTCTCACTCACATTGCTTGCTCACACCTGGAGTTTTGCCATGTGAGCCATGCTTCTAGCTTACCTTTTAGATAGTTAATTGGACATAGGGTCTCGAGAATTTTTCTCTTTGAACTAGCTTTGAACCATGATCTTTCAATGTCAGCCTCCTGAGTAGATAGGATGTGAGCCACTAGGGCCTGAAGTTTTGAAAGGTAGCGGAAGTATAAATATGCTTCATTCCACATACCCTTGAAATTCAGAGGATACTTTCTTCTTCTGAAACCTTAGCTTTTAGTAATAGTTTGATGTTCCTATAAAGGACACCTGGGTTGTAAGAAGTAGACATTTTAAGAATATTACTTTGAACTAAGAAAAAAATGCCTAGGACACATGTGCACATTAATTTTCTCGGAGACTCATTTGAAATCCAGTTACTCATTTTTATGGTTTATCAATTTATGACTATGAACAAAATACAACTAATTTTAAGGATCCAACTTGAAATATTCAGTGGAATATTACACTATTCCCTAACTGTGCTTATCCTCAGTAAATAACTATAGAATTAAGTTTGAATGTATTACATATAACAACCCAAGGTGAAAATCAGGAATGAGGGTCTTCCTGTTTTTGAAATCTATGTATGCCTTTATAAAATTAAGTTTTTTTCCAATGTCTTTCCTGTGTTTCTTTCTTTCCTCTTATAATTCCTTTTTTTTTATTTCTGTGTTTTTCTGAATCAGCCTCTTCATTTTCCTTTTTGTTGTTATTTCCCTTTATATTTCTATCTTTATTTTTGGCAAAAATATATAACTAAAGCTTATGTGTTAATTTATTTGTTTAGGAAAGGAAATATTAAATTTGGTGTTTTTAAGCTTTATATTATACTTTATAATTATTGTGCATGCTAACTAGCACCCAGTTAGTACTCTTCATGTGCCAAATACCTTTCCGTTCACCTGATAATCAAAACTGTCCTTTGTAATAGGTACAATTGCTAATGTCCTCATTTTACAAATGAACAAGTAGGTGACAAAGAATAGAATTTACTAAAAATTTTACAAACTACTTGTTCAAAATCATATGGGTAGTAAGTAGCAGAACCAGGGGCAAACTAACTCCAAAGGTCACTCTCTGGCTTCATATGCCATCATTTTTTTTTATTTATTTATTGTAGAGATACTATACAGAGGGTTACAGTTACATGAGTGAGGTAATGAGTACACTTCCTCTTGAACATTGTTAGCCCCTCCATTGTTTTCCCCCTACCAT